CCAACTTTTGAAGATGGCACTGGCTGAGATTATTTCAAAGGAGTTTACTTTTTAGAATAATGCAGTTAGGTTAGGGTACGAACTAACCGCTGGCCAGAGATGTATACAAGGTTTAATGCAATTCACCGACTATTTTGCAGTTCAAATTTTGCAAGGGGCATCCAGCCCTTGAGAGAGATATCCCTGCATTGGACAAACGGAAATCAATAAATCTATTCAGAAAAACGTAATTTCATTTTGCTTCTTAACCAGAAATTGAGATACACACATTTCTCCCTTCCCAGTCCTCCCTGACTTAAATATATCCTGTGTTATATAAGTAATTGTTTTGAACCCACTCTAGGACACAGTCAGAGACATGACTCCAATAACACATTATCAGTAAAACAAAGCAAAACAGTTTCATGTCCCTGCTGGGTTTGTATATACACTCTTAAATGAGCAGATTCTCTCATTATTCACCCTGATCTGGTCATTGTATGCTTAGTCACAGCTGTCACAACAGGTGCCCAAACATCCTCCCCCTTCATGGCACTGCACTTTCTCGCTGGAGTTTGTTGTCAAATTCCTCTGCTGCCTTTCTCTGGTGCCTTTGCTCTTCCTTCTCCAGCTCTTCCCAGGTTCAACTTCATAATTACTTCTGAGATCATCCAGGGCTGGCTGATCCTGGATGTGGCAATCCTTGATCTTAAGCATCATTTCTTCTTTACCAGTTGATGTTCTTTATCCCATCACGTGAAACCATTTTATCCATCAACTTTGACCACGCTTTTCTTGCCTGGACCTTTCTTCATCTTTCTTGATACCTCCAGTGACCATATACTTTGGGACTACGCAGCAGCTAGAGGCTGACCCCTCCACTAGGCCAGATTATCTCTCCCTGTGCCAAAGAACAGCAGGAACCTCCAGTGACTTGAGGACTCCCAGACAGGGTCTTGCCCAACACTATATTTAACATGAAAACTCTTTGAAATTAACATTTATGCCCCAAAATACCTCTTCACGTCTCTTTCTCTCTAACGCCCTTCAACAGCAGTTTGGGGTTCCCAAAATTGAGTGCAGAGCTGCTCCCCCTCCTGTCCCACTCATCTTGCTGCAGATTTATGCACTGCATTTTCCCACTGAGCTTAGCATTCATTGAGGATCTTTTACTGCTGAAAATCCTGTGAGTTCTTAAATTATCATCACTGTGCTACTGTGCACTAACAAAGTTTATCTGATACAACATCATATCAAGCATTTTCAGTTCTGTAACAAATGTTTCCTTAGCTGGAAGCAAGTCTCCTCTGATATTAAGGTACCTAGAAATAAAGAGACAATTTTATATGATTTTTTTTTTGCTATTGTCTTCAAGGAATATAGTGTGGGTTTAGGGCAAAATATACACAATTCAACCTCTTTTATGTTTTGTAGACATCAGAATTTAAGGTCTGATTTCCAAAGTGCTATAATCCATCAGTCCCACAGAATTGCAAAAGCTGGTGAAGGAGAAACTAGACTCAAAGCCAGCTATGTAACCTGTATCAATCCCCTGAAGCACTGAAAAGATTGGGCCAAAACATTAAGGCAAAAGCTTTCTATAATTTTATTTCAGTAAAATTACAAAAGAGCAAGGAAAATACCCAGATGTTGATTCACAGAAAAAACAGATTCAGTACAGTACTAATACCATTTAGTTTGTTTTCTCCCTAAAAACTCATAGTTAGGGGTTAAGACATGCATTTATATCTCAAGTTTCACCCATTTGGGATTGAAATATTTTTTTTCCTAACTTACTCTTACAGTACTGCCTTCTCTGTCCTAAAGCACAGTTTAACATCCCTACGGCAATTACAACTGCTTGCAGTCGAGAACAAAGTATTACAAAAATCTTTAATACATTGCCACCATTCTTAATGCAATTTATAAGCCGACAAAAAGCAGAGGCAGTGTTATATATTCATCCAGATTTCTCTTGGTCACCTACAATTTAAAGAATTCATCCTCCATATTATTACACTTTACAGCTCTTAGGACATATTAATTAACATGCTAAATTAACTTAAATTCTTACTGCCTTAAAATTGAATAGAGAATTCATTCCTCTTGTTCTTATTCTCCCTCTTTTCCCAGATCACTTTAAAAGTAAAGTAATTATTGCTGGTGTGTGTGGCTTCACCCTTCCCAGGATGGGAAATCTCCTGGGCTTGCATTTGATCGCTTGCTAAGCTAGAATGGGAGCAGCTCATCTGCTCTGCTATGGTGCAACTCTGCCTGAATGCAGTTACCTACTGATCTTAAAGAAAACATAAATCTACAATAGATATGAGGAAATTAATAGAGGTGAACAGTGATTTGCAGGGGAATAAACCAGAACCGAAAGCCAGTGTACTGTAATACCAGCAGTGCAAAGAATGTCAAGGAAATGAGCTTAGCCACGGCTCTTTTTTTTTTTTTTTTTTTTTTTTTTTTAAAAAAAAAAAAAAAAAAAAAAAAAAAAAAAAAAAAAAAAAAAAAAAGTTCTAGGAAAAATATTAAACCCCCTTCCCAGGATGGGAAATCTCCTGGGCTTGCATTTGATCGCTTGCTAAGCTAGAATGGGAGCAGCTCATCTGCTCTGCTATGGTGCAACTCTGCCTGAATGCAGTTACCTACTGATCTTAAAGAAAACATAAATCTACAATAGATATGAGGAAATTAATAGAGGTGAACAGTGATTTGCAGGGGAATAAACCAGAACCGAAAGCCAGTGTACTGTAATACCAGCAGTGCAAAGAATGTCAAGGAAATGAGCTTAGCCACGGCTCTTTTTTTTTTTTTTTTTTTTACTTTTTTCTAATTGCTTTGATTTATGGCTCTACTTAACTTACTTTTACCAAAAATCATTGGGCAGAATAAAAGAAACCTCGATTTCTGCCTGCCGAGCTGCAGCCAACTGGCAGGCATCACTTCTCAGAAGGTAACAGGACACAATCACTCCCATGGGGCAGAAAACAGGAGTTTCAAGCCGACTCTCAGTTTTACATGGCATTTCTATAGCTGTAAAAGCTCCATATTCCATATTATTAACCTCTTTCTATTCAAGGTTCCAGAAAAGGTGGCTGTGTCAGCTACCCAACCTGAAGTTCAAGACCTTTATGGGTGAGGCGACATTTTAGCGCATAATAACTACACAAAATCCTTATCAAAGATTGTCAGAAAGTTGGAATTACCAGTGGTTATCAGTCAATAATTGTTAGAGTAACTGATGGGTAAGCAGTAACCCTTCACATGCAATTCTTCTGTGGGAATGAGAAAAGCAGCTGGAAGGAATTCATAACAAGAACCTCGCAGAGCTCAGAGAAATGTGATGTATAAACAGATTATTATTTCCTGTGGATATTGATGATAAATGAACTGGATTTGGTATGTCTAGGAAATATCACCACACTCTAAGCCATCCAAACTCCCTGTGGTTAAAGGTAAAAACCTCTCCTGTAACATATGAGAACCCAGCATAAAGAAAGCACTAAATATTTGGGTCACTAGAAATACAAAAGTTGATCATTCCTCTTGCATACTTTTCATTTAATTAATCTTTCCTGCAGGTTTTTAGTGTAATGACTCATTGATTATAGCAAGGAGTGCTTTATAGGGTAAATTAATTCACATAAGAGAAAAAATAAGTGCTAGGTAGCAAAATAAATAAATAAAATGCAAAGTGTGTTGGTCATCTGGTTGCAAGGGAGTACCATATCTGTAAATCAGCTACTCAGTGAGCACTACCAACACCTGCACTCCTCTTTCCTCATCTTTGCCTATACCTAGAGCTTTATATAATATGAGAAATCCCCATAGAAAAGCAAAAATAATCAAAGCTCTATTCCTCTGTTTGAAATTAGATAACCTATAACAAGATGATAGCTGATCACCTGAGAAAACATATGCAAAAAGTGGCTTTTCCACCTAATTTAGGGAAAACTTCTGTTCAGTGCGTGGTCACTCAGTTCATTGCAATAAACAGCATTTCTAAAAAGAAAACAAAGCAGGGAGAGTAGAATACCTATGTTTATGGTTAAAAAGAGAAATGGCTGATGTTTGGAGAAGCTATTTGTACCCATGAAATTAATCTTAAAATACTTTTATGGGCATGGACCAGGTGCAAAGATATTATCTGGCTTTTCACAGTGCTTCCAAAAAGATTAAAGTGTCATGAAAAAGACATTGACACAAGAAACATGCTCAATGCAAAGATGGAAAAGGAGCGTCCTTGGCTCCTGTCTGGTTCTTCCTTAGCTTAAGCCATATCAGGTATACATCAGTATATTTATGCAGAATGTAGGTTACCAAGCCAGTCAGCAACAAGTAAGTTTGCAGCTGGCTCTCAAGAATTACACACAGAGAAAAAACTACACCAAAGAGTCAATATAATTCCCCATGACCTTACCTTGAGACTAGTCACATTGCAAACCAGCTTGGATCACAAAAGATTTTGCACCACTGAAAATATTTAGGAAATGGTGGGGTTATAGTTTATGAAGATCCCAAACTCCGTGCAGTGTTAAACTGTATAAATCCAGAGTAAATGTTGTCTCATATTTTGACTGTACATGGAGTTACAGCATACGTGCTCCTTTTCATGATTTTCAACATTGAAAAGGGTTCCCATCACACTGTTATTTGCATCAGTCTCATTTTATCTCTGCAAGACATGCCCTTTGCTGTCCACAGCCTTGGAAACTGAATTTTAGGTGTTTGCCAGAAACACGCCATAAACATCCAAGCAAGCAAACGTAACATCCCTACCACAGAGAAAGAGAAAAAAAGAATACCTTTATGCCAGAAAATATTCATAGAAATCACATTCTAAGCAGGAAGATATGCTAAATTCAGGAAATAAATTAGTCATTTATAATATGCACTCAGACCTAGCCTGAAAAGTGCTATTAACTCATTTTACACTGCAAACCTCTAGGGGCAAGAGCCAGATCTTCCACTACGGGTCTAGCACAGTCAAATTAAAGCACATTAACAGTACTCACCAAACTATAAGGTGGCCTTGCCAAGCAAACTCTGAGCCCATGACACTGATGATCTTGAATAGAATAACTTCCATTTGTGTGAGATTCTTCTTACAGTAATGAACAGCTATCAGGCTACGTAAAAGCTGAATTAGAAACCCCAATTTGAAATACGGTATTTAAAATGCAGCAAGAAGTCCTTTCCCTCCCTGAAGATCACTGGTTTCCCAAACAAATGGGTGGATTATAACAAGCCATTGTGCATTATTTTCTGTTTCTCAATGACCTAGTTCCCATGCTCTCTGCAATACTGAAATGGGAAACTAAAGCTTGGGTGTAGATCTTCAGCTGGAGCGATTCAGCCCTGCTCGCCGTGTCAGCACACAACAGGCAGAGCACATCTCCCAGTCAACACATGAAACTCAGAAATTTTCATTTCTTGGCTTGAATAAAATAGGAAAGATGCCTTTCCAACATCACCAAGCAGGTGAGTAGGAACATATTTACAAACATGAATTTTAGGGTGACTTCAATGACAGAAATTTGTTTTTTCACATATCACAAAGTTGGGGTGCATTTCTCAGAAGAATGGCATAGATTTTAATTTTTGACCTGGGGCTGATTACATGATGAAGTTCAAAGGACTGTTGACATCAGGCTTTTTTTCCAGGTTCATTTGATTATTACAATTAATATAGGCATGTGGTGAGAACAGTTACAAAAAGAGCTGAATTTTGTCTTATTATTATCCTGGCAAAATATTTTTTATTTTCTTAAAATTGCATAAGCTTCACACTGATGATCCTTGCAATGCTTTACAAATAATGCATTTATACATCACTTAAATCGTTCATTATAATTTATAGGTTAGTTATTTTATTTTGGTGTCAATCAAAATTGGAAGCTGTATGAAAGAGCTTGGATTATGAGAAAGAGATTTTTCATTGTAAGCTTTAATAAACTAATGATGATATTATAAGAGTTACTGCAGAAAAACCTGCCATCTAATAATTAGCTTGTTCCTGTTTATTTTAATGTTCCACCTTGTGCTTGTTTGTAAAAAGTTAGTAATTATAGCATAGTTATGTAAATAGGTGAGTCTGCACTGGATAAAACCTGCAACATTGAGCTGCAGCTCCACCTAATCTCTGAGAAGTGGATATGGAGATTTCAGCCTTTTTTATTGCAGCTTTCAACATCCTTCTGAAGAGGTATTTGATGTTTTACCCATATAACTCCTGTCAGATTGGCAGGGGGAAGATGACCACCCAAGCCCTGTCCCAGCACAGACACAGGGATAGTTTTGAACCAGCACTGCCTTTGCAGACATTCAGTACTGATGTTGCTGGGTCAGCACAGACAGAGGCACACGCAGCAGCTGAGTGGGGAGGCAGAAAATCACCGTAAAGTTATTTCCTCCTAGGTCTGTCTTGCCCTTACCCCAATAGACTGGAAGCTCCAGTGGCTTCCAGTGGTCCCCAGATCACACGCATGAGATAGCGGTGGCCCTGCTAGGCAGTCACCTGCTCTCTTGTCGCCCACAAGCTAAAATACATTCAAAACTTCTTAATTAAACATTTTTATTTACATTTCCTTTCCTGTATTTGTCCCCAAGATCTTACCAAACCCTATAGGGTGAGAAATGAGCTGCTGCCAAGCAGCTACATTTTCTCCATATAAAAGTCAGTCTTGAGGAATCAACTCTCCCAACACCATGAACTCCAAAATGCACCCATGTGCTCTGACCCCAGGGGAGCACGGTCATCCTGACTGCTCCTCGAAAGCCTCCCAGCAGAGACCTGGACAAAGCACATGCCCCTGACTCCTGGAGACTGCCCTAACACAACTGCTACTCTCTGCTTGCTGCCCATGCTGTGGTGGTTAAACGCTGACACTACTTACTGCCTCCTTCGTACATGGCAGACCTCTGGCAGCTGGTGATACCTGTGGTTTCAGGATGAGCTGTGTTAGATCACATATATTTGTACATGTAAAGGAATCTCCTGCTGTGACCCAGCCAACCACGGCCATATGGACCAGTGGGAGCACTGCTGGTTACATGTGCAGGTGGCCCTTTGGTCAGATTTGGCAGCAGGACTACCCAGCGGCCCTCCATGCTATAAGAGTTACCTCCATAAATCACGCGCTACCACACATCTCTTCAGGAACCTGGAGGCTGTCCAGCTGGACCACTGGCTCAGACATCCACCTGTTGGCACCAAGATGGTGGGCAACGGTAGCAATCCAGCTGTGCCAGCACAGGACACTGAATGCTCTCTGTGGCAAAGGGGTGCTCTCGGAGCAATGCAAGGCACCAGCTCAAATCACCTCAAGCCCTAGGCGAGCCCTGGTGTTTCCATCAGCCTTGGAGGAAGCACAGGGGAATGAGTCCACCTTGACTGACGTAAGCCTTTCTGCATAGAGAAACCCACGTGCTTGGAAAGCAAACTGCACCTTACAAAGAAGAAAACATCTCTCACACTTGCCCCTTCCAGGGTTTTTGCCACCTAGAGCGAATTAGCAAATTGCTGGTGCTGCTGTTTCTTTCCTGCAGAAAGGAGTACCTTAGCCTCTATGGTTTAGAAATACTGTTTGCCTTCTTCCCCACAGATGGCAAACTCTTTGGTTTCTGCCACCACTAAACATACAAATAAATCATCAAGATATGATCTGCTAACATATTCAAAATGATGTTTGGCCTGAATATTTTTTTTTTTAGCTTCAAACATCAATTTCATTTCATAATGAATATATGCTTCGTCTCATAACATTTCATTTTTGATACATTTAGCAAAATTGCTTAACTGATACATTTTTTCCGAAACAGCTTTATTTCTACCCTAAAAGCATGCAAATCCAAGACTTACGCACTTATATAATGTGCAGAATTCCCTGCTGTTGGTTCCATTGCTACATTATAAAATATTCATAATATCTACATTTTTTCACAAAATTAATTTGGTATCCCCACTACCTTGTGTAAATCACATTAGAACACATGGACAAAATGTTACAGGCCTCCCGGTGCAGCTCTTTCCACTTTCACTTGCTCCCCTGTCGGAAGGAGAGCCTCCCCAGCACGCACCCCCGCAGCCTTATCGGAAACACCGGCGAGGCACATCCAGCCCTCACTTCCTAAGCTTAATGCCCTTTGCAATTCTTGTCTGAGCAGTTGTTCGCTGAAGACAAGAAGACTTATTTCTATTCATTCCCTGCATAATCCACCTTATGAATTTACACCTCACCCACCCGCACATTCAAGGACCCAGAAATACAAAATATTTCCTACTGTGTTTTAAACCCACATCCTCCTGGATACAAGATAAGAGCTTAATAGCTTTGACACTGCACTGTTTTCATATTCATGCATAAGTTATGGATACAGCAACAGATCAGCACTTCTTTGTGCTTCTCATTGGCTCTGGTTCGCTGCCTTAAACTGTCTGAGTCAAGGCCACGTTTTAATGCCATAGACGCTCTATTCAAATACCAGTATGACCACATTTTAAAAGCCACCCTGTACCACTTCATTGCCGCAGATGTCCTTTACATCTGGCAAGGGCCGTTTCTCTGCATGTCAACAGTAATTCAGTTTAACAGCTGTCTCTTTTGACAAGCTTAGTGTCAGACTCTAAAATGACAGGGTGACAGTTTTCCTTTTCTTTAACAGAACATAGTGCAAATTAACCATTTGAATGCAGGATCACTGCACGCCTCCCGAATACAGTTTTCAGAGTCAACTGAATAGGATTTAGGAATTGTTGGTATTAACAACCAAAGCTGAAAACCTGTAGGGTCTGACAAATTAGGACACTTTTCCTGTAACTGAGATTCGTACCTGAAATCTAAGTGTCTGACTCCCAGAGAACCTTAAACTGAGCTGAAATGGATGTCAGAGGTAGACATTGGGAATTTGCAAACTGGTAGGATCAGTACCTTTCCTGCATTGCATAAATACACAGGAGAATTTTCTGTACATTTAGTTAAAATACTGGTTAATACAGCAGCTAAACCTACTAGGTGTATCAGCTTTCAAATGGCACACTGTACACACACACGCATTTTTCACAAATGCCAAACATACAAAAGCACCTCAGCATAATTTCTCCAGGACTAAAGCCATGCCGGAGATAATACTGTACATCTTAATGATTGAAACCTTTAGCACAAAAAGCAGCTTGTGGACAGTAACAGAGTGCCACTGTGATTTATGTACAACCAGTACATGCTACAAAGGCACCGCTTTAATCTGGTGCAAGAGTGAGCTTTATGAGGCCGGCTGTATTAGGCTCACATAAAAGTGAATTAAAAAAAATATAAACATTACACTACTCATATTTAAAGTGCATACTGATTTAAGTTGTATGGTGAGCTACTTTGTCACGTGAATACCGTGTTATAGCATGGCAGCCACAATGAGGAGGAACGAGGCCTCCCTGATTTTGTTCTTGTTCTATCAAAAGCAATGGCAAACCTCAGAATAACTGCAGTGGGACTGAACTCCAGCTCACACAATTTATGTTATTTTAAAGAGCTATGAAAGCATTTCTGCTGTTTGCTCCTGAGTAAACAGTTACATCAAAAGCACCACCAAAAACAAAAAAGGTTTGAAAGGATGACACAGAGAGCGTAACATTTAAACGCATTCAGTAATTTCTTTTGTTTGCTCATTTATATCTTGTCATAAGTATTTGTATGTGTTACCCATTGCCATAACATTTAGGCATCTCATAATATTTAGAAAGATTCACACTCAAACACTTATTACTATCTCCAAAAGGCATGCCCATTTATATAAGAGTTCTCATGAACTCTTCAGTCTCCTAAAACAACCAAGATCTTCCTCTTTTATTCAGCTCTTTTTAAGACATAATTGGTCATGTCCTGCAGAAGAATTCATTTATTCTCAATCACTCTATAGCCAGGTCTCTCACACAGTAAAACTCGCGTGTCCCTGCTCTGCAGGAGCTGGGACAGAGATGCTGATGGTGCTGAGCTCCCTACTGACTCCCTTCTTATCCAACATGCCCTGTCCGTTCGTTTCCATCACCCGAGAATTCATAATTTCATAGCCAGAGGTGAGCCTGTGTGAAGGGAACATATCACTAGCATTTTATTAATATATCATGAAGCTAAGTCAGCTGCAAACACATATTTTT